TTCCGTTTAATAATCCCCTCTAATATTCCCCTGCAATTAATAATCCCCTCTAATATTCACCTGCAATGTCTTTGCAGCACAAAAAAATGAGAAAAAAAAACAACATAACGAAGGCAATATGGCATTAAGAATTATTTCTATTCTTACTCATTAATGCGACCTTGCAGTGTGAAAAATAAGTACGTTATTTTGAGGCACCTCAGGGATATGTGTTTATTCACCTCGGCGCTGCGCGCCTCGGTGAATAAATCACATATCTCCTCGTTGCCTCCAAATAACCTATACATATCGGTGGATAACAACATGCAGCTGATCCAATTAAGGTTGTCTTTCCTAAACTTTAAACTCTGAGCGCGCAAGGGATGATGGGTTTTCACTTATTAGGCCCTTAAACTCCGAAAATTGCCTTTGCAGCAAGTATGTTTTATGTCGTGAGTCTTCTATATGCCTTAGGTGTCCTTACCAAACCAAATTTCAAAGTTTATGAGTCTAAATAAGCAGTAACCCATCATCCCATGCGCGCTCAGAGTTAAGGTTTTACTACGTTTTTGGAAGGACAACCTTAATTGAATTAGCTGTATATCAACGTTATATTTCGGCAACTGATAATTCTATTGTTAATAAAAGTACAAATCTTTCTTGCCAAAACACACAAAAAATTTTAAAATATGCGACAGTTGCGTGTTGCTATCAGTGGTTATATATACCATTACAACCACAAATAGAGAGCTAGCGTTTGGTCAGTGTTGGGTAATTGAAAGTAGTTCATGTTAGAATGTTTCGCAAACATAATTGCTTTGTTAGAAATGGTAAAGGATTGCTGCATGTATGCAAGTATTTCTAGTCAATAACAGTATGGTCTCCCGTATTTTTTGAAAAACATACACTTGCGAGTTTCTCAAAAAGTTTAAAATTGCACCCGTCCTTTATGGACATTATATGCAGTTTCTATATTGGCTTTGAAAAACTCACTCGCGCATGCTTTCTTTTCTTTAAATTGCGCTCATTTTGATGACCTAGACTGACACGGTGACACCTTCCAAACGAATCACGGCAGTATGGCTATGTTGGATACTGATCTTAGAACATTCAGACCGTATACATACAAATTATTTACTCAAGAGCTGGAATTTCTATATATACCAGAATTACTTCCGACGTTTCGATGCCAAATTGTAGTTTAGAACGCGAAGCTGCTATTCTTTAAGAGATCAGAATGTTGAATCTTATCTTCTTTAGTTTTTGTCAAATAGTGAGTTTCTAGATAGAACTTCCGATTCGGAGTTTTGTTTCGTAGGTTTCAGGAATATACTGAAAATCTTCAACGTACAGTACGTTGAAGATGACTCTTCATTTGACACTGAAATTTTTTTTCAAAATCCTTACGAGTAACGAGATTCCTTGAACAGCAATGCAAAATTCTGTAACAACAGTGCAAAAATCTGTAACAACAGTGCAAAAATCTGTAACAAACTGATTTGATTGGTGGATAAAACAATGGGATCTAAAATCAACCAATTAGCTTAAAGCAGTCGTCAAGTAACGGTCACAGATTGCTTCAAAACAAAATAAACATGGCGGACGCGCTACATAAGTAGAAGTAGCAAAACTTACTTATTTGAGTGAAATTTTGAAGCAATTAGCGTTGTATAATGTGATATAACAGAGCAGGAAAACTTTGTCAGGGGACGAAAGCTTTTATTGCTCAAAAATCATGAATCTCCCGCTTAAACTGTTCTACGAACTCTCCTGTTCCCCACTCGGCGGGCACTCCCTTCTCTATTACACCATAGCACGTATATATGTCGTCATTTTGAGGCCACTGTTAACGCCTGAGCAGGCGTCTTGTTTATTTAAAAGATGAAAAACACATCAGGTTCAATAGACAACTTGCATGGTAGACTAATTTTTCATCTAAGCAAAAAAAAGTAAATTCCCGTGTAAAGAACTTATTAAAATTAGTAAAATTGCAAAATTTGGTTACGAAATGTTGTGAAATACGGAAAATATAGCCTGCGAAGTTTGCATATTTTGTGTACTGTATGTTTGTATTACGTGCGGAAATTGTTACCATTTTTGAGACCGTGAAATGGTAACAATATCCGCACGTAATACAAATATACACAAAATTTGCAAACTTTGCAAGGCTATATTTTCCAAGCTTTACAACATTTCGCAACCAAATTTTGCAATTTTACTAATTTCATTATGTTCTTTTTAGCTGTGGTGTTTGATTCCCTTCTCTTTACTTAGATTAAAATTTAGTTTAACATGCAAGTTGTCCATTCGTCGAAATAATCAGTCTTTAATGAACATTTCTTTTTCCCCAAATAGTCCTTTTCCTTTCATAAGTACCTTAACCAAGATGTTTCAATGACGTGAAAAAGTTAAGGAAAACGTTACCTATTGTTGCTTCAACAAACATTTCCTGTGCGACCTCCCCAGCGAGATTTGCTCCCATAAGAACATGACAAGGAATTGAAAGCTCGTCTTCAATCACTTTAGATATCAATGAAATACCTTCACTGGCTGAATCCAATCCCTTAAATAGTAAGCATATCATAATATAGTTAGCCAGAAAACAGGTTTCTTACCACTTATTTAATCATTCCCTATATTCGTTCCAATCAAGGAGTTTGTACGATAATACAGTCGCTTTATTAGCGAAAAATGCACTAAAACTCTCACTTCGATGATTTCTGCGGCACAACCTGGTTCCATGTCTATACACCTGGGGAATGAATATAACTGGAACGCTACCTTCAGATAAACTGCCTATCTTTTTCTTGAAGCCAAATATGATCCCCAGACGCGCGTGTCTGGGGGCCAAGACCATAGTCAAGACCCGCGTGTTTATGCCTCGCGAGTGAAAGAATGCACCCATAGCACAGATGAGGTAAATACAGATATGAATCTCTCCCATCAAATTGCTGACTGTTTTGTGCCACACGGAATTCGCACTTCCGGCGAGCGCTGGCAAGTGTCGTTCTGAATAAGGAAAGTAATAGGAAAACGCCGTTCGAAAGACGAAAAATTGTTTTTTTTTAAATCTGCGCTACCGACGGCTATTTTTGGAATGAATTCTTCAAGAGTAACAGTAAGCGATCACTTTTATTGATTTCCGTTTATAAAAGTGTTAACATAACATTTTATTTACCAAAAGTTTGTTTTTTCCCTATCTTCTCCTTATAATATTACTTGCTGGGAATTTCATGCAGATGCTCATCTATAAATAACAAAACAGCGAATGATATAAATTCCTCAAAATATAACTCTCGCATAAAAAAAAACATGAATACTTCTATAATACGTATAGTTTTATTCCTCTGCATTATCAAAATTTAATAAAATAGTGAATTAATATAATTTTAAAGTTTATTTGATCGGTGTGTCATAATTTGCCGCGAGATTCGTCTCTGTAGATCTCTCCTCTGTGCCCATAGTGACCTTAACATTTAGGAGCAAACTTACTAAATGTTTTTAGTAAAATTTCAAATTTACTAAATTTTTTCAGTAAGACTATACGTTCACACTGTGCCGCAGCGGTTTGAAAACGGCGGAGCGAAATCGTTTGAAAACGTCATTTTTGCCGTTACGGAGATGAAAACGGGGCGCTTGGCGGCTTCGTGTGAACACAAACGCCGTTGCTTATTTGTGCCGCTTGCAAACCAAGCATTTCTGATCAGGTCTCAAAACAGTAAATTCGAATGCTTTTCATTTAAATTTCTTGGCTCTATTTGAAATATTTTTGGTTTACAGGAGTGCAAATTTAATTTGTAAACAAACTAACTGTAACGGCCGGCGTTGCGTGAACACGTGTATTCCGGTTGACGTCGATCGTGCAATATTGTATTTATCATATATTTATGTCACAAATCCACCATTCACTTGACATGATGAATTCGCCATCGGTTGGTAACCAATCAGAAATCGAGAATTGTTTGAAATAAATAATCATATTTATCCCAATAATTTTTGTACACCAAATTAACTCTATAGATAAATAATAAATAGATTAAAGCAAATTTCAAGTTACCTTAATTAACGAAATGCCAATAGCATCACTCTTTATGTTCCCTTTAAGAGACCGACATACACCTCTGATAAACTGTGGCAATTCAAAGTATTAAATTATTTGAAATTAATTTATAAGAAAAAGCTTTCGGTTGCTGGACAGTGGTCTTCGAGAAATGTGGGGATACTTCACAAGAAATACGCTTGATAATGGCATGCATAAATTTAAAGTGTTTAATACTAAAGAAGGTAGCAATTGGGACCAAAGTTCTGTTCGTTAACATAGAGAAGTTTTTAACATAAAACGATAGGCTTTGGTTTAAAAGCTATATTTTTCAAAAAATACTGTAGTTTTCACGAATGAAGTTGATATTTGTCCGGTCACGGAAACCAACAAGCTTTGGTTATTTGTCCGTGAATTAATTTGATTAGTTCATTTAAATGGCCAGCAAAAGTTTCACACAATAAAACCGGAACCTTACCCGCACTTATCCAACTCCCTAACCTCTAACCCCAAATGATCAGGCCACCTGCTCGCAGGTCGACCAGCGGAGCTAGCGCGTACGAGGCGAGTGCCTTAGGAGGAATGTGTGTGACAATTAATGAAATTTACCTGATGTCATTTTAGCATGCTGACCGAATGAAGAAATGAACCAATCAAATTAATTCCTGGACAAATAGCCAATTTAAAGCCAAAGCTCGTTGAATTTCTGTGGCCGGACAAATAACCGCTTCCTTTCACAAAACTATAGTTTCTACAAAATATACCGATTCGAAAACTACAATGCCGCCACAAATTTGCATTATCATATATTTTATGCATTGCCAGGCTAATAAACCTTTTTTAGCAGAGACTGCTATTTAAAGCAAAGTGTATATAAGAGATTAAGATTGAAAACAATTCATGCAAGAGTTAGTCGTTTGCAATGTGCGAAAAGCACCAAAACGATGCTAGTCAATTTTCTTTGCTAAATTTAGTACAATCTCCGGTATTTTTAAGATGCAATATCTCAAAAAGGACTGACAACCATTTTTCCAATCGGTCAAGCCTATATTTTTTCCTAAACTAAATTATAGTTTAAAGTCAACTTTTGATAAAACTATATATTCTCAAGTGATGTTACGTTGGCTAATATGTGCTTTAATCCAGTTGGGGTATCTGTATTAATATCATCTTAGTCAATTTACTCGATTGTGATTGGTTAAAAACCGTGCCGATTAAACATTACTCGCACATGTGTGCCGATTAAAGATTAATCGGCACGGATCCGCGTGGATCATGCGTGCATTAAACACAAAATGTCAACAGTCAACACAATAAACAACTTGAAAATGCAGATTTTCTGAGCTCGTATTTTACAATGAGCTCTTATTTATGCTTTCATAACGAAGAAAAATGAGGAAATAAAGATTATTCACAGTTTTTACAGGTATGAACTGAAAATTAATGTCAGAAAGTGCTTTCAAAATTGACCACATGCAGAGGCGCGTATATTCGCTGCGCTCGCTTGAATACAAAATAATACAATGTTTCTTATCATTGATTGCTCGTGTAAAATTGACTACAAAATGATATTAATAGGAAATTACACTTGTTCTCGAAGTATTAATGAAAAATCACACTTGTGTTTGGCGAAATATTTACAATACCGCTCGTGCTACTATACGCACTCGCGGTATTATAAATATTTCGCCATACATGCGTGCGATTTTTCATTAATACTTCTCGTAAACTGTGTAATTTCCTATACAAATAAAGGTGTCACTCACATTGTGGGGCAGTACAAAGACTAGTATATCTGCATTCTTAGCAGCCTCCACCAAGTCCGGAATTGCAACCTGAAACAATCAAAATTGGCAATAACATAAACAGGTACAGGTGTTTTTGTCTTCGTTGTTGCTGCTGCTGCTGTTGTTGTTGCTGCTGCAGTTGTTTCTGCCAGTGTTGCTGTTGCCGTGTTGTTGTTGTTGTGTTGATGCTGCTGTGTTGCTGTTGTTGTTGCTGTTGCTGCTGTGTTGCTGCTGCTGTTGTTTCTGCTATTGTTGTTGCTGCTGTGTTGCTGTTGTTGCTACTGCTCTTGTTTCTGCTAGTGTTCTTGCTGCTGTGTTGCTATAATTGTTTCTGCTATTGTTGTCGCTGCTGTTGTTGCTGCTGCTGCTCTTGTTTCTGCTATTGTTCTTGCTGCTGTGTTGCTGTTGTTGTTGTTGTTGTTGTTGTTGTTGTTGTTGTTGCTGCTGCTCTTGTTGCTGCTGCTGCTGTGGTTTCTGCTATTGTTGTTGCTGCTGTGTTGCTGTTGTTGCTGCTGCTCTTGTTTCTGCTATTGTTCTTGCTGCTGTTGTTACGTTCGCGGGCGAGAACGAACAAAAATGTGTGTCTGCATCTTCATCGTTTACCTCGTTGCCCTCCCTGACCAGACACGGCGACACGCGCTGGCCAAGGAGGCTTTCTCGTATTTGGAATAACTTCTTCTTAGTCTTGAAAGTTCTTCAACAACAACAATTAACTCAACAATATCAATTTATTATCTTTAACTATCTCTTAATAGAATAT